AGGGGACCTAATATGGATTCCACCTCACACTATGTGAAATCTTTAACTATTGTAACCTACTGTAATCTATTGTAAGTATTGTAACTTTATTCTCTTATTGTAATCAGCCAATGTACAGTAACTGACTTGTCCGATATCATGTAACAATGATCTGTAGAGATGAAATAAATACATACATACATATTCTACCTTTTCCTTTTTTGTTCTTGTAATGTATTTGTACTTGTAGTATTTGGGCATTATGGTCAGAGAGCCCCGTTTCCACCACTATAAAGTTGTATTCCCATAAGCCCTTGTTTAGTATTGTGACATGTTGAGCAACGGAGGACCCCTATCTCCCCAGCGGCACGTGGCGGTAATGTATCACTCTCGTTACTACTTGTCGCAGGACACCACTCCCCCCCTGGCGTCGGTGACGTGCCGAGCGGAGCCGAAGCGAGCTGAATCCCAGCGCACTGGTCGCTATGCAACACGGATAAACAGTGGTTGCGATAGACGACCCTAGCAACAGCGAACGGAATAAAAGCCGGCCGAGCAGCAAGCGAGAGTCAGTGTGTTTGTTATCAACAGTTCTCAAGGCAGCAGCCTATGAGTGGAGTTGAAATAACAGCCGTCGCGGAAAGAAGTACCGGACGTGTGTGTAACTGAGAATTAATTGGGAGTGTGATATAGTTGGACTTATATAGCTCCCGTACTGTGAAAACGTGTTGACTACTGACAATAGAGTGAATTGATTATTGCGAATAGGGTTATAAAGTGTAAAACCCCGCAACATTGTTATAATTAATTGTAGCCGTTACTTGTAGGTTGTTGAATAAACCAGTTAACAATCTCTACGGCGTATTCAGTAATGAAACACGTTACATTGGTGTCAGAATTGGGATTTGGACTTACGCATGTGACCTACAAGAGTCAGTAACTAAAACACATTACACTGGTGTCAGAAATGGGATCAGTAACGAAACACGTTACACTGGTGTCAGAAGTGGGATACGAACTTGCACACATGACCAACGGGATTCGAACTCAAGACACGCTACACTGATGTCAGAAGTGGGATTTGGACTTACACACGTGACCAATGAGCTTCGAACTCAAGACACGTGACAGTATTATTTGTTCTATGGCTGTTTGGCTTTTAGGTCCTATTCTTGTTGGGACATCAACTATTCATGATTTATTTAAACCGTCTTGCAGTGCATACACTCATCTATCTCCTTCTCTCACTCGCACTACATGTTTCGGCACAAAAATACCCAGCTCAGGTGCTTACTCAACACACGCAGTCATGGGAGCTTGC